TCCCATGTGTATAGTTTCGGTGCTTTTGCTTCCGGTGCCGACAGAGTTTGGTTGCCTTCTTGTGGCTGATTATTATTATCCGGTGATTGTGTGCCTTCAGCGGCCCCTTCATTTGGTGCCGGAGTTGTTGCCGGTTCTGCTGTCTGTCCCCCTTCTGTCAGCGCTCCCGTCTGTTCGCCTCCTTCTGCATGAAAATCATTTGTTATGTATTTAATATTTTATAAATATTTTTTGTTATACAGTACTTATAGTATAGCATTTATTTTTATTGTGACTATTGTATACTAACTTATATTAATAATTGTACTTGAAAATAGGTTTAATATATAAAAATAGGAAAATATTTCACCATTAAAGTGAAAATGCAAACGGCTAAAAGTTCTTTAGTACTCATGTAAGTCTACTAATAATCTATAAATTTAGTATTTCATTCTCAGTATTATAATAAGTATTCTGTAATTGTATTTTAATCGATAAAATAAAGGAGAATGCAAACTTGTAATACCTATTAATTGAAATCATTTAATTTCAATGTTGCATAGGTTATAATATGGATATTAAAATCAATTTTGAGAGTTTAATTATAAAATTATTAATACTTTAATTTTATATCAAGGATTGATAATTTTGTCTAGGTTATTTAAACAGTTGCAATTCTAAAATACTTACTTCTTCAATAAAATATTGTCTAACACCATGGTTGATTATTTAATATAAATTTAATTTTGTTTTTAGAAAGTTATTTTTATAAATACAAATATAATTATTATAGATTAAAAAGATATAAAGAATTAATTAATGGCTGTATAAGCTTTATATATAAAAATAACTTTATAAGCAAACATGTGAAAAGTTAAATAAATGTATAACCTGCTGGAGTGCCCGGAATACTTTTGACAAGTTTCCACTTGTTTTCATCAAATTTATACCAATTAAGTGATACAAACGTATCATTTTCGGTGCCATCCTCATTGGTACAAGTGAGTGTATACTGTTGACCTGCCATTGCAAACGATGGCACTTCCATTTTGGTTATATTCAAACACCAAGCAAATGATGACATACTAATTATTATGATTAATTCACTGATTAATGATTTATCACAATTACTCAACATTTTCATATATCAATTCTAGTGAAACATCAAATTTTTACTATTTAATCACAAATGTTACAAATTAAAGTGGAATAATATATGCAGTCTATTAGAAAAAGTTTTTTCAATGTTATTCGCTTCGATAATAGCAATTACACTGAAAGGCCTTTTAGTCAGACTTTGCGGACTAAACAAATGCAAAGTAGAAAGTAAAGTAAATCAATACATAATATAATAGCTGAGACTAGTAGTTGTGAGTTATGTTTTTAATACAAGAAAACAATTATTCCTTGTCAACAATTGGCGTATAGACTGTCGACTAAAAAATCAATGAATTTATGCAGAAAAGTTTGTATTTTGTATGCAAAGTAATTATTTGAATATTTGTGTCAAAATTCATTAAAATAAATGAATTA